ACACACAGCAAGCAAGGGGAAGAGATAAAAGAGGAGAAGAAGGAAGGCCATGTCACAGAGGGCCCACGAAGCTCACATAAGTACTTTGAATGTTATTTAAGCATAATACAGGAAGATTGGAAATGATTTTTAGGAGAATTAAATAATCTATGCTATGAAAAGATTATTCTAGCTGCTATGTGGATGGTATTAGTCCTTTGAGTGGAAATATAGTGTTGGAAGTTTGATACATGAGTCGGGGATTCAGAAGAAAGATAAGAATGTAAATACAGATTAAAAATAACAAAAACCAAACAAGATTATTTGGGAAATTAGTTAAGATGGGGAAAAGATCTAAAGCTTAACCTGGGTCAATCCAATACTAAAGAAGTTAAATTGATTAGAAGATTCAAACAAAGTAAATTTATTTATTTATTTATTTATTTATTTATTTGGCTTTTTGAGACAGGGTCTCACTATGTAGTATAGGCTGACCTTGAACTAGCAGTGATCCTCCTGCCTCAGCCTCCCAGGTGCTGGAATTACAGGGGTGCCCCACCACATCTGGCTTAAAAACAGCATAAATTTAAAATGAGGTTTTTATTGTCAGTGAATTTGGAGTTAAATTGACTATGGTGTCCAATGAAGTGTTTCAAAATAAAAGAATAAGGGCTGAAGAAGTAATTCACTTGTAAAGCACTTGCCTAGCATATGCAAGGCCCTGGATCAAAACTCAGCACTATAGAAAAAAAACCAGAAAGCACGGTTAACCTTTTAAATACCTATTAGGTAAATTAAAATTGGCCACTGAGCAAGGCAACATGGAGGCCATTTGTAACTTTGTACTAATGGTTTCAACAGAGTGATGATGAAAAAGAACAGATAAACTAAACACAGGAAGGAATGGAAGAAAAAAAAGTAGAACTATCAAGCAAAGAAAATTGTTTCAAGGAATTTTTCTGTAAAATTGTACCAGTTTTGTAGGAAGGAGGAAATATTTCTGCATAAAATGAGTCCTGTAAAATTATGTCTATAAGATGATGGTACTGAACAAATAGAATGGGAAAGTTGAAGACTCAGAGCAGAGAAGGAATAATCTCAAGAGCAGGAGCCTTAAAATCTGGTGCACAAGTAGAGAAGCAAACGTGTGAGAGTCCCCCACAGATCCAATGGCTATGATTACTGTGCTGCCCTGTCTGCAGGGAGTTATGATCTTGTCCTCATTGGAGGAATTCTACTATCAACCCCTGCTTGGACTTGTTCTACAGGATAATTTGGCAATAGGTAGATAGAGAACCATGGTCTTCAAGACTGTTTCTTTACTTCTTTAGAGAGAACCCACCTTCCCAACATCCCCTCAATAAAATTATTTTCTGCTTATAACATTCAGAGTTCATTTCTCTTGCTCACAGTGCTATCAACAGCTAAGACAGACTCTCAGAAAACTTCATTTGACTGAGTGAACAAATGAGCTTACTGATGCCTGGAAGATTAATTTACCATAGTATTAGCATGGGACATATTCTAATCCAAATCATTCTGATTCCTCTTCAAAGGCTAAAAAGTCCTGGAAAACACACTGGTATTTTCACTCTTTAAAACAATGTAAGTTAGAGAATGTAGCTCAGCAGCACAGCACCTGCCTGGGAAGCACAAGTGAGTTCAATTCCCAGTACCAAGAAAGCAGAAAAGAAAAGCCCAAGTTTTAAAAAAATGCAAGTTAATATTCCTACTTGGTACAACTATCCAATTTAAAACAAAGAAATCATATATACTTAAAGAATATTAAACTTCAAAAGGGCAAGTTTTTAGTTTAGCAGTTGGAGCATAGTAGACACTCTGTAAATATTTAAGTAAAAAAGTATTTTAAACAATTATATATTTAGCATTTTCCCATTTTGCAGGATGGTGGGTGAAGAAAAACTGAGAAACTAGATACTAAAGAGAAGAAACCCAAAGCCGAGAAGGCTGACGCCACTGGAACTGGTAAAAAGGGTAATGTGAAGGTGAAAGAGTCCAAGAAGGCACAGTCTCACTGCAGCTGAAATCCTGTCCTGGTTAGAGGAATTGGTAGATACTCCCAATCTGCTACGTATTCCAGAAAAGCTTTGTACAAGAGAAAGGACACTGCGGCCAAATCCAAGGTTAAGAAGAAAAAGGAGAAGGTTCTTGCTACTGTCACAAAACCAGTTGGTGATAACAAGAATGGGGTACCCGAGTGCTTAATTCGAAAAATGCCTAGATACTACTCTACTGAAGATGTGCCCTGAAAGCTGCTGAGCTGCGGCAAAAAAAAAAAAAAAAAAAAAAAAACTTCAGTCAGCACATGAGGAAACTGCGAGCCATCATCACCCTGGGACCATCTTGATCATCCTCACCAGATGCCACAGAGGCAAGAGAGTGGTTTTCCTGAAGCAGCTGGCCAGTGGCTTCCTGCTTGTGACGGGGCCTCTTAACCTTAATCGCGTTCCTCTGTGAAGAACACACCAGAAATCTGTCATTGCCACTTCCACAAAAATTGATATCAGCAACTTGAAAATCCCCTAACACCTCACTGATGCTTACTTCGAGAAGAAGAAGCTGCGGAAGCTCAGATACCAGGAGGGTGAGATCTTCCACACAGAAAGAACAATTACCAGATTGCAGAGCAGTGCAAGGTCGATGAGAAAGCAATGGACTCGCAGATTTTACCAAAAATCAAAATTTTCCTCAGCTCCGGGGCTACTTGCGATCCGTTTTTGCTCTAACAAATGGAATTTACCCTCACAAGTTAGTGTTCTAAATTTCTTACTCAGAATCTAATTAAATAACTGAGATTTCTTTAAATTGTATATTTATACAAAATACATTGTTCCTTCCATTCTAGATTCTTACATTCTAGATTCTTACACAGATTCAACTCTATCAATATAAATTTTTGTATGATCCATCTCTCCTTTAAAAACATGCTTTACTTCTCACATTTTAAATACTGAGCAACACATTAATTTTACACTCAATAAATACTCCTAGCTGGCATAATTTACACATGATTTTCTTAGTAAAAGTAATAATGAAAGGGGTCTCTTATATCTGTACCTTACACTCTCTTCCCTTAGAGTGTCCTTGCCCTTTATATTCTTAATTTAGCAGGATTTCTTTAAGTTTTCCCCTAATTCTCTAAATCTTACTAAAATATTCATATTCCATTTTACCTGAATAACTGAGACCATGCTAGAATACTGATTTTACATATCAACCATCTCATTTTGGTGTAGTCAGAGATCACAAGGGACCCAGATTCTCAAAAAATCTTAAAGATTCTCCCAGATTTATTTAAGAAGCTTGTCCTGCACCACACTACACACAGGCAGCCACACCTGCTATCACTCTGTGCTAATATCTCTCTGAAGCACTCTCTTCACAGCCTTAGCTACATCCTTATCCTGGAGAGTGTAAATCAGAGGATTCAGAGTGGGAGTAATGATGCTCTACAGTACAGAACTGATTGTGTCTTGCAGGGGAATACACTGAGACCTAGGCCTCATGTATGAGAAGATACAAGCACCAAGCCAGAGGAAAACCACAGTGAGGTAAGGGCTTCAAATGCTTAGAAAGAAATGTCATTTGTTTTTTTTTTTTCCCCCCCTTGGTCACTTTGGCTGTGCTCTGGCTATAGTAGACAGGAATTCTTATGAGAAACTTTTGTAACATGAAGAAAAAAATGGTTTTTTTTTTTCCTATTTGTTGCCAAATTATCTGTTGGGAAACCAAACATTTCCTTGGAAATGAGCCTTCTTAACTTACTCAGGTATAACTTGGAATTCAGAAAAAGAAAACAAAGCCAAGTTACTTTTCTTTGTGGAGACTTCGTGGGCAAGAACAAACTCTGGAGAAAGCGGATTCTGTCAAAATGTATGTGGGTAGCACATGCTCCAACAGAAATAATTGAAAGATTCAAGAAAAGAAACTTGGTACTTCCATTTAAATTATCCATTGCGCTACATTCTGTTGTAAATTTCCCTTTTGCTATTACCTCAAATCACCATCAAAGCTATTGTCTTTGTTGTACCATATTGAGAGCAATAAGTGTTAAAAGCGGGGACTTGGTCCTGCATTTAAGTTGTTGATGTGCCGAAGACCATGTAACAGAGACAGTGTACCGAGTGAGAACGGAGGAGAAGTCAGAGCTCCCAGGACACAGCCTGTGAAATCACAGCAGCCTTTCCCATGTGGAAAATTGAACAAATCCCATCCTGATATTAAGGGACGTTAGGCTACGTATACTTGTTTTCTCACGGCCAAAGTTTCTATAGCTGCAGGACTGGGGAGCATTCACAGATTATAGGACCTTGAAGTTGCAGGGAGCACAGAATATGGAGCATGAGATAAGCGGAGTAGCTGAGACAGGAGAAAACATTGTCTTAGCAACAGAAATGCCAATTAGTAGTCATCAGTATTCATTGAGCATGGTGAGAGAGAGGCATGGTTTGCGGATGCTTCTGCTCAGTGATTCTTGAACCAAGCCTATGAAAACTGCGATGATAGGGGCTGGGGATTTAGCTCAGCGGCACAGAGCCTGCCTGGCAAGATCGAGGTCGTGAGTTCGATTTCTGGTACCGGGAAAAAAATAAAAAAAAAAAAAAAACTGCGATGATGACACCAGATAATTCTAGTGAGAAGTCTAGTGTAGGAACCTGAAAGAGTAAATAAAATCTGAAAGGTATAATAGATATTGTGAAAGGGAAAAAAACTGTTTAAAGGGAGGGAACAACTAGGATAAGGGAAAAGAGAAAAAGAAAGAAGGGGAAAATATATATATATATACACACACAGGGTAACTGAGAGAGTCGTACTACTGACTTCTATTGCTTTATTGAAAGGAGCAGTTAATGTTTAATTGCTTGATCAACCTTAAATGCCTATATTTGTTTAACCAAGTAACCAATTTGAAGATAACAATATGTAAAATATGTAATACAATACTTATTGTTAATTTTTCATCACCTTGTCTGAAGCTCTGTATTGCTTCTGTTGTTTGGGTGTTGTTTTGTTTATGCCCGGTTGTTTGTTAATATGTTTTCATTCTTTATCTCTAAAGGTAAAAAAATTCTACTGAGAAGGTATTATCAGAAATTCTTCAAGATAATGCTTTCAACCGCATGGCCCACCATGGCCCTTAGATACCCTTCAACGGCCTCTAATTATACCTGGATGTGAATCCTCACTCAATGGATGTTTTGAAAGAGATCCAATCATAAGATCTTCTACAGATGAGATGAGTATCTTTACAATTCTGCAAAGTGGGGATCAAGCAAAAGCTGAGATTTTTCCTAAGTGAAGAAAGAACTAAATAGAAAAGGAGGAAGTGCAACAGATTCGCTCTGCCATCCTTACTCACTGGAAAGAACCACCCAATTGACGGGGAAGGGCACTAGGAGATGAGTTGCAGGGAGTGGTCAGAATGCATCTGCCCGGAAACTGATGATCTACTTTATAACACGTGGAATGTGCACTTCCCGGAAGGATGAGGGACCTGCCCTGAGCAGAGATTATTGGACAGAGACACTAGGGCAGCAAGGGAAAGGGTGGTTAGGATCCTTCTCACCTTCTTCTCAAAACTACTCTTTTGTTTCCACCACTGGGAAGTTATTGGCTGGTTCCTTGTGTCTTCTGGTGCTCTTTGAACTTGAGAAGCAGTTAAAAGAGGAAAATCTGTGCTTCTGGCTCTTCCACAATCTCCCCAAACCCAGAAGCACAAGCTCCAAAAGGGTAAACAAAAGACAAAGCCCACTAACCCCAAACATGGTTTTTAGAAAGATGGTCTTCTCAGAGGGACGGGACAGATTACAGGTTATGCTGCCAAGGCAAGGATCTCGTCGACAAGAAAAGGAACTGGGTACCTTAAACCCATACAGATGGTACTGCCCCCCCAAGGCTGCCCCTTCAAGGACCACTCGAGCCCCCAGCTGTGCCACATAGGCCCAGAGTATCTTGCGGCTTCCAGTCCCTGAGGCATCTCTGCAGCTGTCCCCTTTATGGATCAGGGTTTCTTCCTCCTTCTTCACCTTTCCTGGTTCTTCCCAGTGTTCAATCGCATGACACAAGGTGAACCCCACATAGAGGGCACTGGGTACAGCCACCATGATGACGTGGAAGGCCCAGAACCGTAGTGGAGAAAGCGGGTGGGAAGCATCATAGCAGGCAGCCTTGCAGCCTGGCTGCTGCGTGTGACACACAAATTCACTCTGATCATCGCTGTAGACGCCGGGTCCGCTGGCAGCCAGCAGAGCAAGGCGGAATCCCACGAGCACAGGAAGCAGGAGGCGCCCCACAGGGGTCGAGCACTGGCTCTCTTGCACCAACAGCTGCCTCAGGAACCTTCCACACATCCTGTCAGGGAATAGAGAACAATGATCAGTGTACGTTGCTAACTGCCCTTTAGGGAGAGCTCCAGGCCACCACTGTGAACCCAAGGATCCATAAACCCTTTTTCCCCTCTCCAAAGACCTGGTTGATCAAATATTATATTAGTTAGCTTTGCATACTTAAAACGAATTACCTGAGGCAATTAACTTTGTAAAGAACAGTGGTTTATTTAGCTCATAGTTTGAGAGATTCAAAGTCCAAAGAGTATAGCACAGGCTTGCAAAGTCACCCACTAAATGTGTCACTTCACATCTTAGATGGCAATGGCAAGGAGCATACATTGGAGCAAATGCTCACATCTCCAATCCCCTGGTGTTCCCCTTCAAGAGCATAAAGACCTAAAGACCTCCAATTAATCCCCACCTCTTAAAAATCCACAACACCTCCAAGTACCTCACCTTGGAGACCTGACTGTTTGAAGAACACTCGTTCAAACCATAGCAAATATCAAGACTCTGCACCTATTTATTAGTTAATGGAGTCATTTGTGTAAGATAAATTGTACAGTAGTGAATTGTGGAGGAGACTCTCAATCAATCTGTCTCTCTCTCTCTCTCTCTCTCTCTCTCTCTCTCCCTTTTCCCCCCTCCCACTTCTGTATTGCTGGAATGCAGAACTTTCATCAAGGGGTCTTCTTGTCTTTTTTACCCTCTACCTCTCTCTCCCTTTCCCAAAGACTAATAGTAATAACCCAGGATAGTACTTTTTTATTTCTTCCCTTATTTGTTGCTTCCCAGGTGATGGCTGCTATATCTGGTAGCACTAACAGTGCCACCTTAACCAAATCAGTGCTGACACTGAAAGGGAATGCCCATCCTATTGCTCTCTGCTATTCTCTTTTGCCTTCCCTCAGGTACTCCCACCATGGTGATAAGACTGAGATGTGGTTAGGTTAGCACTCCCCTCTGCCACTGTTTTCTGGGTATATATCTGCCTCACAGTGAGAGATGATCACAGTTCAGGACAAATTTCAGAAATTCCTGCATTCCACCACCAAAATCCCATCACATTTCAAACCCAACTTTGCCATATTCATCTCTGTCCTAGTCAACAGCCTTTGTCAGTGCCCAGCAACTATTTTCAACCATCCTTAAACCCAAACCCAAATCCTTACTCACTTGTCTCTTCTCAATCCCAAAGACCATGTGCTATGGTCTGAATGTTGGTGTCCTCCCAGTATCCATATGTTGGAACTTAATACCCAGTATGATAGTATTAGGAAATGGGGCTTTTAGATCATGAGGGCAGACTTCTCATAAATGGGTTGGTTTCATTATAAAAGAGGCTTGAGGGGGGCCTTTCCATCTCTCCCACCATGTGAGGACGCTAGAAGGCTTCTTCCAAAAGACTTTTATAAGATTTCTCCTATAAGAAACAGGCACTCACTAGACATTGTGTCTGCTTGTGCCTTGATCTTGGACTTTCCTACCTTTAGAACCAAAAAAGAAATAAACTTTTATAAGTTTTCCAGTCTAAGGTACTTTGTTATAGCGCCTGAACAGACTATGACAACACACTATGAATCTTGTTCCACGGAGGAAATAGAAACTCTGGTGTGAAACTCTACAGGTACTATTTTATCTTCACATTTATTTCCTTACCTAACATCTTAGGAAAAGAAATGACCCTGCCCTTGTCCAAAGCTACTGCCCCTTGCAAATCTATGTCCTTGGATCTCTTCTACTTCTTCAAGAGTGTGATCTCCAAATTATCTTCCTTATAATTTACCCCTGCATTATTTCATCTCCAGCTATGAATATGATTATGTGTCTCCCTTTAACTCTAATAACAATCACTTGGGTCTCTAAGTTAACACAGCAGAAATAACTATGCCTAATTTGTCTCATATCAGTTGCTCAATTATAATACCCAAGAATATGCATGAAACCACTTTAAATGGAAATTAATATTATAAACTATACATAAGAACAAGCTATATATCAAGGCATAGGGAAAATTATTACTCCTGACCAGTTAGAAGTGATGGCTTAACAGGCTTTCAAGGAATCACTCTCAGGTAATTAATTGACAAGAGAAAGTTGTCACTCTCTACCAGCTGTGATGGAGGCAGTCAGACTTCCCTCAGTTCCTATCTTTCCACTTCTTTCATGGACTGTGATACATATGATAAATATATCTCAGAGGCATGTCAGCCCACTGAAATTCCTCTATGAAAATGAGTTAAAATTTTTTGGAGCAATCAATTTTCAATCTCTAGAACAACACAAGTTAGTAGATTGTAGTTAGTACAAGACTCTGAAATTTGACAATAAATATATTTTAAATACATAAAAATAGAATGGATGGACCATTAGTATAACACAGTTAAAATCCACCTTGAAGCAACGTATCATATTCTGAGGAAAATCAAATTGGGATACTCAGAAACATACTTGGGAAGCTGTTTAGAATTGAGAGGAAGAATATAAATAGTAAAAGTAACAAAATGTGAACAGATACAGAACACAGCCTATTTTTCTTATGTTAAATAAAATCATCACAGGCTGAATATCCCTAACTAAAAATCTGAAATCCAAAATTCTCCAAAATCAAAACTAAGTATCAACAAGACACCAGAAGAGGAGAATTTCACCCCTGACCTTATGTGGCATGTCATGATCAAATGCAGGTACACCATAAATATTGTTTACAATTATCTTCAGGCTATGTGTATAAGGTATATATGAAGTGTGATCAAAATATACAGTGAATGAATAAATTTTTTAACATATTGCAGTAAGAGACACATTGCCACTGATACCCTTTGAAATCCTCCCTCTCACATCCCATTGTTCTTGCCACTTTTTGAAGCCCTTCTGGAAGTCCTTTTTCATTAGGGTCTGTAGTTGCACTGTTACAGTTGCCCTGATGTTCTGAATCAATTCAAAATATTTACCTTTCCTGGTCATTTTGGTTTTGAGGAAGAGACAGAAATCACACAGTAAATAAGGATGAAGACACAACAAAACATTTTTTTTTGGTACCGGAAATCAAACTTAGGACGTCAGGCTTGCCAGACAGGTACCATGCAACTGAGCTATACCCCCGGCCCCATAACAATTTTATTTGACCATAAACATGCCAGGCATGGTGAATGCCTGTAATCCCAGCACTTCGGAGGCTAAGGCAGTAAGATCACTGTGAATGTGAGGCCAGCCTGGGCTACATAAACAAGTTCAAGGCCAGCCTACATTATATAGTGAGACCCTGCCTCTAAAAAGAAATTAGCATAAACATTTAATCAATGAGGAGTGATCAAGAACTACAGTAAAATTTTTAATTTAATTTTTAAATTTTATTTTAATTTTTAAATTTTAATTATAGTAACAGACACATTGTCATTAATCCCCCTCAAAATATTGCCCTTGCTTCAAAAATATTTATCTCATCATTTCTTGGCAATATATCTTTCACTGTAATAAGCACATAAGTTTTTTAATTTAATGATTCATCATATTCTTAGATCATCCCTGTATGAAACATAAGTAAATATCATGCTTAGAGTTGGGTCCCATGCCCAACAAGTCTTATTATGTATACACAAATACTCCAAAACCAAAAGAAAAGAAGTTTCTAAAGACTGCTGATTTCAAGCATTTCAGATAAGGGATATTCAACCTGTAGCTTACGTAAGAGGGGAGAAAGTACTTAGTGAAGTAGCTGAGAAAAAAGTAACTTCTCAATAAATGTTGACATCTTAGGAGGTGCTGTAGAGCTCTACAGAGGAGCAAAAGAAAGGTCAAGTTCCCATGCTAGTTTTAAGGTCCTCAACCTTAGCACTATTGATATGTGAAACCAGTAATGTTTTGTGTAGGGTGGGTGCTGTCCTGTGGGATACAGTATTTAGCAGCACGCCCGGGCTCTACCCACTGAACATCAGCAGCACATTTCTCCCCTCCTACCCACATGGTGACAACCAAAAATGTGTCCAGACACTGCTAAGCAACCTAGGTGATAAATTCACCCTGATTTGAGAGCCACTACTTCAGGGTGGCACTAGCTTATCATAAACCTCTACCATCCTTGGCCCCAGTTACCAGCTCTGTAAAGCAAGATACCTGTGGCAGAGCTTCTCAAGGCCTTTTGTAACCTTCCTTTTCCTAAGACCATGCTAATCAGCCCATCTTCCAGGTAGGCCTCACATCCTCCCTTAATCAGCCCCCACTGTGAGGTTATCCACAATCCCATCGCACTGCACAAGTCTACTGGGTCCCTGGATTCAGGGAAGTCCCAGGGTGCTGAAGGCTTCTGGGCTGGCTCTCTTGGAGAGTAATCAGACTAAATGCTAACTGGATAAGTTTTAAATTCTTGCTTTCACCCTCATCTTATTTCAAAGCACAAGCCCAGGATCCTCTAAACGCATTCCCAGCAGAACTAGGATTTAATAAGGGACAGGCCTTGAATATTCTGAGGGTTGGGAACTGAAGTACCTTATAGAGTCTATCTCCAGATTCCATCCCTCGTCCTCCTTCCAGACCCCAAACCAGACACTCAGATGTTCTCTCAGAGGCTCTTAGGACTAAGCTCACCACAGAGCTCCTGGCAGAGAACTCTTTGGTTTGGAGCCCCCGCACCTAACACTAACCACCTTTCCTTGTCCTGGGCCCCTGAAACTGTCATCAAAACAACACCTATTCTGCTGATTACCTGGGCCTCCTGGAGAGTTCAGATGTGTTCCATCCCCCAAAGTCTTCAAACAGACTAAAAGGAGTTTCCTACACAACAGTCCTTCCTCCTCCTTTCTGCCTGCTTTCCTGGGACGCTGCGGTCTCCCTGTCTGGTCCAGCTGTTCCAGCCACCTGCCTCACCCCCTGAGATTCACATCCTCCTCTTATAGACAAGGTTGGTTCTAAAGCTTTGAGGCTGAACATCAAGGTCTTAAGTGTTAGGGCAGAAAAGGAAGGGAGCTGCTGTCCTTGACAAAGCTCCCTGTAAGGGACAACATTCTGTTTCTAGCACTGGAAGAAGTTTTCACATAAGTTTGTCTGGGAGTTGGCAGGATCTGAGCTTTGTCAAGATCTTACACAGTGAAATAACCTCTGTGAGCTCAAGAGTCAGGAGAGGAAAGGAAGCTTGGAGTCTGAGTGGATTTTCAAATATCCTAAACAGATAGGATTTTTTAATTCCATCATGATTTTGATAAGAATTTTTCCAAACATCACATATTCTTTTGAAGAAAAATGTCAGGATTCTGGCAGAATTCATCCCAGAGAGTTAAGGGATGGAGGAGAGAATGTCCAGAGGGAAAGGCAGGACCTGTCAATAACCAGGGCTTATTGCTCCCATCCTACCCAGCGTGGCTTGGATAACATTCCAAATGCTTCTATTCAAAGTGTGGTCATAAATATCAGCAGGAATGCAGAACCTCAGGACACCTCCCTGACTCCTGGATCATATCTAAATTGCAATAATATCACCCACGGGTTCCTGTGGTTAGATTTGAGAAGCCTCTCTAGATCCCAGGAAAGCCCCAGCCACTGCCACCAGCAGTCCCTGAGAGAATCTGGCTGCCCTCAGCCCCTGTCCTCACTTACACTCACCTGGCAGCTCTGAGGAGAAGCACCAACCACAGGGGAAAGAGGTCGAGAGAAGAGTCCTTAGGCTGGAGCCCACAGGGTCCTAGCCCTTGCCTGGCCCTGCCTCCTACTACCACCACTTCTCTCCCCTCCCTTTTTCATTCCTGGCAGCCTCCATGCAGAGTTAAAAAAAAAATGCAACAGGAGAAGCATGCGACAGCACTGCTCTTAAGGCTCCAGCTCCAAAGAATAACCCTCTGTTGTTGAGGGTGAGGAGTGTGTTCCCTAAGTGACCAGAGATGGGGATTCTCAAGTTATCTAAAAGGAGAGTGAAGAGTGCAGCATATTTCCAGCATGGGACTTGCCTGCAACAGCAGAGAGAATTGCCAAGGGTTTGAGTTGCTATTAAACCCCTTACTTTTCCACCCAAAGTATCAAAGCACAAGCTTACCCACAGAACTCTGTGTGTGTGTGTGTGTGTGTGTGTGTGTGTGTGTGTGGTGTTTGCTTCATATTCCCAGACAGCATTCACCTCAAATTTCACAGTGACCCCAGCATATCCTGTCCTTTTGCCTGGGAGAAATAGCAAGATTCCCTCCTCACAGCAGAATGAAAATCTGCCCCACATCCCATCAGGAACCCAGAGAATCCAGCTCCCCTGTCCACCAGGGCCAGAACAAACTGTGAAACCTACCTCCACACCCATTCCTGCCCCCATCACTACAGCCAGAATCTCTCCAGGGTGTAGCTGAGAATTGGAAGGTATAAAGCTGGATGGAAGAGTAACTCCCAAGGTTGAGGGATTGTAGAGTGCAGGATTGGTCTGCTCTGTTACCTGTAACAGTTCCACAGCAGTGCTGGCCTCTGGGGAAGCAAGCTGCCTAGAGGGGACCTCAGTTCCAGGCACTACCCCTTGCTCAGGCTTGATGTACTGACATAAACTTCCTTCTCTCTGTCTATTAGCAAAGCCACTTCTTGGGTACAAAACCATCCTCAAAGCCAGCATTAAATCAGACATCCATCACCCACAATCCTGTTCCCTAATAGCCCTCTTTTCCCCAGATTGTGCCCAGGACTCTGATAGGTACCTTCTTGTCTCAGACTCTCCAAAAGATCTGTTCCAGCAACTGTGGTCCCTGCAGGGGATGAGGTCCCTCTGGCTCTAATTCTCTGGGGTTCTTCATAGTTCAAGGTTGGGATCTTGAGCACATTCCAAGCCAACAGAGCACCCCATGATCTGGCAATACAGGTTACCCCAGATGATACTGAGGAGCTGCCTCCTGCTCCAGGATCCTTACATCTGAACTTATTTTACATGAATGGGAAATAACTTTGTCTAATTTTAAGTCATTGAAATGTCTAGTCTGTTACTCTTAGCTCTTAGCCAATCTACCTAAAAATCACAAATACTTTTGAATCACACATATTTTCCTAAAGTTGGCAAGAGTGTGCTGTAACATGCACACATCCCTACCTATTGCCTGTTTGAATGCAAATTAGTTCAGTTCTTTGATGACCACTTGACAAGTGTCTATACTAAGCCTTCATTATGAGCCAATCACTTAAGAAGAGAGAAGCTCTGGTATATAATTGCTGCGAATGTGCTATATTCTATCTTCAGAATAGAGTAATATATACACATTCATATACATAGACACACATATGTACACATATGTTTGAAAACATTTTTATATCTCATGCCATTTAGATATTCCATAACTCATTCTTCCTTTCAAATGTCTATGAATTGTGAGGAATAAATCACACCTACACTAGTGTAATCCTATCTATTTCTCCTTGTTTTTCCTGTGTCTATTTTTTTATTTTAAAGAGGAAAAAAGACAACAAAGGCAAAAACAAAACAACATAAAAACAATTAAAACAATACAAGATTTCAAAACAAGATGATAGGAATTAACAATGGTTGTTATATTACATACTGTTTTCTTCAGCAAAGTTGCTCAGATTACCAGATTTCATAATGAGCACTGTTACTACGTTTTTGCATAGGTACCATAAATTTCATTTCTTACAACCTACACATTTAAAAATCATACAGTGTTCTTCTTTACCTTGTTTAGTAGAATCCACTTTGATATTAAAAGACTATTGCCTATTTATTTGTGGTTTGCTTTTGCCTGGTAAAACTGATAAAACTTTTTTATTTTATTTTCAGCCTTTTTTTTAAGTGTTAAAGGCTAGAACTTGGCATCTCTTGCATGCTAGTACATCCCAATCCCTACTTTCAACCTTTTTTGAGACATAGGTTGAGCACAAGACTTTTGCTTTATAAATCCAATCAAAATGTATTTTTCTTGTAATTGATAAGGATTATCATTTTATGGTATTCTCACTTCTATAGTTTCTGAAAATCTTGCACCATGCGGTTTATGTGTGCACTGTTTCAGGTGAGGGTTTCTTATTTTTTGTTTTGTTTTGTGTTTTCATTCGTTCACTTGTTTTTGTTTTGGTTTCTTGTTTTCTTGAGACAGGGTCTGACTTTTGTGATTCAGGCTGGCCTCAAACCCACACCGGTATCACTGGCCTGTACCATCACACCCAGGTTCAGGTATGTTTCTTCTGAGAACTTAGAAAGCCTGTACTTTTATCTAATAATTACCATCTAACCTGAACTTCACAGAATGCCTATATCTGTTTCCACAGACAACCCTATTATAAGCAATGATCAATTTATTAAATTTTTTCCTGCCTCATCTTCTTCCCTGCATCCAGTTCAGCTGGCTGTAGTATCATTGATAATATTCACTTACATGTTCATTATTTTATTCATACCCTTCACCTTGATATTTACCTTACTCATTACCTCCTCTCTCTCTCCCACCAGTAGCTTTCATTAGTTATATCAATTTTACAGAATTTACATCTTTTGGCTGGGCATGGTGGTGCACGCCTAAAATCCCAGCTGCTTACAAGGCCAAGACAGTAAGATTGCAAGTCTGGGCTCCTTAACATGACCCTGTCTCAAAATTCTAAAAATAAACATAAAAATGTGTAGCTTATAAGAAATGAAATTTTTGTATCTATGCAAAAATGTTGTAATAGTGTTCATTATGACATCTGGTAATGACCTGGGGATGTAGCTTATTGTGAAGGCTCAGGATTCAATCCCCAGTACCAAAAAATAATAATTTGCATTTTTTATGTCCTCTATTATAACCACCATCTTTGTTTTGGCTCTAATGGATCCTTTTTGTGAGTTGGGTGTGGGGTACATGCTACTGGGGATTGAACCCAGGATCTTTGCACTGAGCTACATCCCCAGCCCTTTATATTTTTTATCTCACTAAGTTGTCCCAGCTGGGCTCAAACTTCCAATGCTCTAACCTCAGCCTCCCAGAGTGCTGGGATTACAGATATACACCACTACACCCAGTTGGTTAGTCCTATATTATGTGACCACCAATCCTTTTGCTGGAATTTTTCTTATAACTGGCTGACGTTTGTACCCTTTTTTTTTTTTTTTTTTTTTTTTGGTACCAGGAATTGAACTCAGGACCTTGTGCTTGCCAGGCAGGCACTTGTGCTGCTGAGCTATATCCCTGGCCCTGTACCCTAATTTTTAAAGGGTCCAGGGGAACAAAATTTTCCAAGTTCATATATTCAAACTGTCTTCCTATTACTTTTATGCCTGACTTACAGTTCAGCTGGGATAAAATTACTGATATTGTGCTTTATTAACTGGGCATGCAGCCAGTTCCAATGCATGCACCACTCATCTGCTGGTCTCACACGTCTTGCCCTTTTGACTTATCTGCAGGACTCAACAGCTACATAAGAGCCCCGCCCCAACTAGGCTTGAGCTATGAGAGTCAGCACCTTCACCCTTTCCTCTTGAGGGGAGCAACTCACAACAAACCTCTCTCCAAAGACATCTTTTTTCTTCTAATTTTTTACAGCTCTACCATTTTATACAACTTTGACACTGGTATAGGGTTTAGGAGTGGCATGGCTTTATTTGTGCGCTTATTTTTTCTTTGAAACATTGCATTTCAGACTAGCAAATCATTCTGGAACACTGCATGTGCTGTATTTTTTAAGCATTGTATCTTGACATCCAAGGCAAAATTTTCACTTACTCTCCTATTTCACTAACATTGTTCAAAGGTTTTTTTGGCTGTGTTTTTTTTTTGGTTTTTTTTGGGGGGGGGGTT